CCGAACGTAATGTGAGAATGTAAACCAATGATTACAGGTAGCTAATCAGATAAAAGGAGGAACATGAGTTACTTCGCACGTATAATCGGCACTTGAAATATTTCCAGACGCCGCCGCGCCGCGCCGGTAGCCAGAACACAATTGACAATTAGCTTTAGCTGCGGCTGTATTGTTAGCGTCCGCGTTGGATGTATGCACCGGTAATCGCAGTGACCAGCACACGCGTAAACTGGTTTCCCGATGCGTTTTATTCGAAAAAACAAAGTAATTACACGTAGATAAACATCGTGGCCGTCGGTCAAACGGAATGTGTTAAGAACGTAGAACAATATCAGCCCGCCCGCGCTTATCAATGCTGGAGAAATTATGACTTCCAGCGATCAGGCTTATTGGTTTCATATCGCGTTATTGCGCACGCACCGGCTGCCATTAGAGTAATTGCGTTTAATTGTCCAGCTCCCGTTTCGATTGTTCGAGGAATGATATACCGTAGCCCGTTAACGGAATAGATAACCTTCGTGTAACGCAAATTCTATTTCAAACCGGACCTCTAGTCATATTTATTTCTTGTATTTTTTATTCCGCGAATGGGTCCTTAGTTCGTAAAGAATCGATGAAATATTTAATATTTAGACTTTTTTAACTGATTGCGCTTTATCCTCATATTGGATTTTTCATTTATTTTACGTCGACAATTAAAAGACTGAGTTAAATTAGGCATATACGTTATGTACACTGAATTGGAAACTAAATGATATGCGACCTTTCAAGGAAGCACCCGAGTCAAATAGGCGTAAATATTCCTTCGTTTTTGCATTAGGATTATCGCAAGTTTTCGAAACGAAAAGTTTTATCGGGCATACCTCGCACCGTCGCAAAACTAGGTTGCAACCTGCAACTACGGTTATTAAAATTGCGGCGAAATGGGCAGCTCCGCTATCGGCCTGTATTATCAAGTCAAGGACTACATTGTTCTGAACACCAATTAACGGTATCCATGACTGACACACATCGGTTAGCGAAAGTATAGACGTCGATACAACGCGAGACGGATATCTATTAGTCACTCAATACGAAGACCTTCCTGTATTGTTGACCAGTTCTTGGCTTTCGACCGAGGCCCGTCTAATCCCACAGTAGAATTAGTACCGACTATGGTCAGACATGGTTGTAGCGCGGAGTGTGACAGAAATCTCCTACTTTTCTGCTGACATTATGTGGCTCTTTATTTCCGCTTTTAAAGTGCTTTATTTAATTAGCAACGAATGGAATGAAAATAAACATTAAGAACTAGAAATTTAAAGTCTAATTCATTTTAGACAAAGTCACAATTTACTTTTAATTCCTATGTTTCTTTATACATACATTTACGTGTCACAGTTTATATTTATTTACAACGTTTGAGCTTTATGATATAATAAATACAATTATTACTTCAATTTTATTATTTTACTCATTACTACAAAATTGCCTAATATACAATATATTCAAAGTAATAGCAATGTAGTTTCTTATCTAATACAAATAGTGAAAAATGTTCTGTATTTGCAAAATAGAGAATTAGGGATATTGTTTTGAATTGAATTGTTTTACAATATTGTCTCACGGTACGATTAAAAGTGATGTACATTCTGATGCGCAACAATGTCTTGTCTCACTGATATCAAACGATGATGCGATACGAGGACAGGCAACAAGTCTAGACGCACCTGTAGAACACAGTAGCGATTTGAAGCGATTCGAAATGAACCACGAATGAACAACAGCTGGGCCACGAAATCAGGAGAGGGAGTAGGGGAGAATGTTCCCGGAGATCGCAGCACAAATCGGTGGGAGCGTTTTCATTTAGACGTAGATTATTCCTAGATGCCTCTCTCATACATATTAAACAGGCTGCGGCGCGCGCTCTCGGATTCACGCAGGCGAAACGTTGCCGTATTTTTTACTCCTGAACGTTGTCCCGGCTGCTGATGCCGTTCCCGCCGCCGCTGTACCCCTTTTCCCCTGCGCGCCTCACGCCCCTTCACCCTAAGGCGACGATCTGTCGCTCATTGAGTATGCATCGGCGATATCGACAGGCGGGTGCCTCACCGTTTCGCCGTGGGGTACGTCGGAAGCCTTCCAGCTACGTCAACGATGCTGGACTACGGCCCTCCTCTCTTTGCCTCCTCTTCCTTCCCCGTCCATCCCTTAGAAAGCTTCACGCGACCACCGGCCAACAGGAGTCATTTTTGTCGGTCATTCATTGTGGTATATAAAATCACATAGACAAGAGTTACACATGCCTTCTCCGGGATGCTAAAAGGAAAGATATAACAGCACATTTTTTCTTATTATTATCAAGCAGTCCAATTTCCGTATAGAAATTATTCTGCAGTACAATAATCTTTACGTAGTAAAAAAGAATAACATCATCTTGCCACCGTGCCGTTCTCTACTGCCCGTCGGCGTTATGTCCACTCCGCGCACGCCGCCTCTTCTTCTTCTTGTTCTCCTTTTTATTCTTATACCGCCGTTCTTTCAGGTATACGCTTGTATGTGTATTTACGTATTCCGTTGCGAGGCGGTGCCGACTCGTCACGCGCATTTGCATAAATTTCGAACCGCAGGCAACGCGTTTTTTGCCGGAATTCTTGCTGCCGTTCTATCGCCGATGTCCCTTCGCTTAGAAATTGATTGCGACGATTAGCGTCAAAATAGACAAATGCTCCTTGGAAAGATGGATATTTTATAACATTAACAAATAAGTGAAGAGATTCCAGTTACTATATCACTATTTTTTGACGTGGAACCGTTTTTTACTGAGCGAAGGGAATTTGCCCGCGCAAGAAATCCAATGTTGTCCCATCACGCGAAAGAATCTACACCTGCGCCGTGCTATGACAACAGGATACCGACTCGTAGGACAAGAAACGCGGACGTAACTCGCGGAGTGAATATTTCTCGGACAAAAGCAAGAGCAGACCCATACGCTGGTTCCCAGTCCCGAAAAGCATCCCGGGATCTTCTTCTTTGTATGCTGCGCGTGTCACGCTGGTTGTAAATATCAATAAACAAAGGCACTGGTAGTGGCAAATACTCTGGGACTCGAGGCCCCGACAACGAAATAAACCACGCCGGGATGAGGTTTTAACGCTGGTCCCTTTGTCGGGCGCCATCTTCTGCGCGCAAGCACGCTCGACTTTTTTTCACCAAGCAATTAGAAAGAGATTTATTTGCACCGGCACGCCGCGCCGGACCGGGCCGGACCAGGCCGGACCTCGCAAGGCGCACGCTCTTTGCCAATGAGAAGGCAAGCCCGCGAATGTTCGGACGGCAACATATTTTTCGGCCGATACCGTACCTATGTACATACGGACATTTTATGCGTGATACATACGCTGTCTCTGTATATGTACATACATATGTACTTGTACCTGTATACACGTGCAATCTCGTGCACGTAGGCCGCGAGTTCCAGCGGGCCGATTCGCCTCGCGAAACGTGAAACAATGCCGACCGCGAGTGACGCGTTTCTTTCGAAGTTAGATGAATCCGCAGTGCGGTTTTAATGAACTCGTTTTGACATGACGACGCCCTCGTTTCGTTCTCGTCGCTCTAGCCACCTTGTCAGTGCCTACGACTTTCCGCTTTACGTATCCGATTTAGTTAATTAAAGTAACCATATGAATTTTGATTGACGCCCGAGGCGGAAAAAGTCGCGAAGGCGTGAATAGACCGGTACCAAACGTCACGGTTACGCAACAGCTGGGGTGAACGCGGAGAAGGAAGGAACACGTGTCCTCGATGATGGATAAGACTTTGGGTTTTCCGAGTTTCATGAAGGATAATAGCTTCTGCTACATTCTATTGAAAGTGAAATATAAACAGTTTGTTATCTCTAAGGAATTAGATGCTGCAATGTGCTAGCAACAGAGTTGAACCAATTACGTACATGCTACACCATTCCTTTTTGCGGCATACAAATTTACATACACGTTACCAGGTTCGAATTCCCAGAAAAGGCAAAGTCAATTAAAACGACGTTACGGGAGTCTTCTTAAAAAGCTGCTCCTCCGTTTCCTGTATTTTGTGAACAGCGAGCGTTAACGCTTTCTGTGTTTGCCTGCTTGACGTCTCGCAAAACACACGAAATGCTCCTCTCGTTCACCTAGCCGAGGCGAGCTTACGTAAGATTGAACAGCGCGTCACGTGCACGCGGCGCATGTATAGATCGCGCCAAGCTACAAAGAAATACCGCATGTGCAATCCTACAGCGGCACACGCGCATTAGTATCCTTGCCGTGGCGGTGCGCAAGCCAAACCCGATGATCCGGGTGTAGGTAGAAGCAGGCAAAAGAAACGATAGTTACGAAACGAACAGTTCTTCTATTTTCATTTCTTTTTTTTTATTCGTTTCCAGTTCTCCCGTCGACTCTTCAATCCGGTAGCATGAGCCGATGATGCGACGTATTATGTAGATCCCGCGTAGCGTGGTCAAACGCGATCGAAGCCGCGTATCCTTCGCTTCCATCGATATATACGTACACCCGTTGCATACCACCATCGATAAAACGTTCTGCCCGTGCACGTCCCTCACTCGCGAAAGCGACACACATACGCAAGTCCGCGTGTACCCGCGTATATATGTCTGTGTACGCCAAGGGAACAAGCGTGTATCATTACGCACAGTGCGTACTCGCAGAAATTCATATCGGGCTCTGTAATTATCGGATGTTTGACGGACGGAAGGACAGCGGCAACAGAGGCACTGAAAATTGCTGGTCTCTCGCGAGAGACCGGCAGCACAACGCGCGTTCTCGGTCCACGTTAAATAGTACATCAACCCGTGCCCGCGACGGATTTTGTTTCCACGTATTCTTGTTTCACAGCTTGGCCTCCGTTCGTTTCTCATCCTTCTCTCTTTTTCCTCCGGCGTGTCTTTCGCCAATAGCCAACTCACTGACAACCCGCGAAACGAGTTTCACCTGACCGATCGTTCCCGTCGATTTTTGTTGCAGGTGAAAATCTGGTTTCAAAACCGGAGAAGTAAATACAAGAAGATGATGAAGGCCGCGCAGCAAAGCGGCGGCGGCGGTGGCGGCCAGCACGGCAGCCTCCTAGCCGGTGGAACCGCTCTGCCCGGTGGACCATCCCCTCAACCGGGTCAACCCGGAAGTCTCATGCAAGGAGGTACGTTCCCTTGTGATTACTTAATGAATAAACGTAACTACAGATATAAATAGTTCACTCGTGACAGATAGTAGAGTAAGGGATGCTGCTGATACTAACGCATGTATTCTGTTAAAAGTAAAATTATTCTATAGAATGCAGATCGACGCAATTAGCATACAGTTCTAATCGAATGGACGTTTCGCCTTAACAAGATGACTTCTATTGCAAAATAGACACGTAATCGATAAAATTCTACTATCAGTCCATGACTATTCAGTCGGAAGATATAAATCAATTAGTGAGATCGAAACGTAACGCCGTTGGCAGAAAGCCGTTCGATAATCTTGTCCATCCACGTGTGTGTACATACGTGTATCCCAGCATTGGAGATACGACTGGTTCGACGCAACAAGGTCGCGATGAATTAGCAATGCTCACTCGTTTCTTCTTCAAACTTTTCAAGATAACATAATTCTAAAAACCGTACACTAAAATCAAACCAGTTTTGCGACCTATATTTATGCAGATCCACAAATCATTCCCTTTTTATTTCAATCCAAGTACCTTCAGACTTTTAATTTTTTAATCTGCACTTAAGTTAATAATTCTTACCCATGTTTCTACCTGATTTAATATAAATCAATCCATCCCTGACTCAGCTCATACAACTTCGATCATCCTCGCGTCAACGAAGCGCTCGCGCTCTGGCGCGGCGAATCGAAACTCCACCCCCGCTTCAAGATAAGTCTATATCTGCAGGATCGATCACGAGACCGTTCTCCGTTACGTTTTCAGGAGGCGGAAGTTCCGTGTCGGGCAGTCCGACGACGGGCTACCTCGGCGGGATGGGTGGCGGTGCAGGGGGTCACACCCCCGGCAGTTCGAGCCCCGGAAGCGAGATGTCGCCCCAGCACAACGAGAGCCCGCCCGCACCCTCTTGGCCGGGCGAGATGAAGCACCATCCGCATCCGCACGCGCCACCGCACACCCACCATCACCCACACACGCCTGGCCACCATCCACCGCCTCCACCGCCGCCGCCGCATCACGCGGGCTACATGCCACAGTACTCCTGGTACCAGGCGGATCCTAATCCCGGGCTACTCACGTAAGTGCCACTTCTCACTGGACTACAGCGCGAGCGGCCCGACTATAATCGATCACGATACAACTTACCTCAAGGAACAAGGTGTTACGATTGACGAGCGAAATTCTATGCATTAGCAATGGGGTTGTGGAAGATCAAAGAGGGCCCAATATATCTTAAAATTCTGGTGCTGACGTTATGTCAGATTTGTGTGTATGTGAAATAACGTTTCTCGAATAGATACAAGTATGTGCAATTTTCTAGTGGCCCATTAATATCATATCAATCTTTTTCAATATATTGTCTCAAATAGATTAATGCATTTATTCACTGAATTTAGGAAAATCTATGGTCGTTACTTGTCAAGTTTATTTGAATTCGCGAGCCAACGAGCCAAAGAATGTGTTCTTCCCTCCTTTATTTCCCATAGGGTGGCATGGAGGGTAGGGTTTTAATGGCTCGTCCGTCTATGGTATTTTTCAGGGTGTGGCCGGCGGTTTAACGAAGACGTCCTTCGAGCTGCGTTCAGGAGGAACCGCTTTTTCGTAGCACCGCAGACGTGCCAGCGCCCATGCCCCAAAGTGTGAATACATATAGCACCCGTCGCGACGGAATCCGCGTTCGATGTTAAATAAATTGTTTCTATTTCTTAACGAAACTCGCGTTTTCGTCGACGATCTCGTAGGAGACGAGATGAAATTTAAGTGTCCGTTAGAGAAGCAACCGCGACAATAGTAAGATGGAAAGACGTGTTCTAGACCCACGAAAACACGTGAATTTCTCGGCAAAATGCAACGTTTCACGGGAAACTTGCGTCGAAGAATCAAATGGACGATCATATTATCGCGAGTGATGATTCGTGAACAATTCGCGTATCGAATTCACGCCGAGAGAGTATCGCAGGACCACTCTTCTTTCACCAGTAAATGAAATCGTCGAAGGAAGAAAATATGGATGGCCCGGGAAACGCGCAACGGACAACCGCGAAGTAAACAAATCATCGAATAGGTATAATAAAGGATCTCCTCGATCGGAGATCGACAGCAAATCGTTCTCGTTTGCCTCGCTAGCTTGTCGATTGTTCTTCGTCATCGAGCGCACTAAACTGAGCAAGACTTGGCCTTTAGCTGATAATCGACCGATCTATCCGCGATTGTCATAGATCGATAGAATTTCAATGATTGTGTGGTTAGTCAGATACAGTTTCCGTCGATCCGATAAATGTCAAGATAACGGTCAGTCTATGCGAAACTGACTATTATTATCCTGATATTTTGGTCTCCTCTCAATAACTGGTATCACAGAACGATTCCTCGATTTCCTTCATAAATGTCAATTGACTCGCGATGCTAGATCGGTCGATCCTTGCGACAGTTGCCTATCCGCGTCGACTGACCCACTTCGTGCTCTGGAAGCTGGACCTCATCGGATCGAACGGTGACGGGGCGAGAAGGGAGGATATAAAGTCGGATGAGGGTAATCGCAGAATGGGACGGAGAGAGAATAATCGGAGGAATGATAAAGAAGGAAAGGGCGAAGCGTTGCACAAACTCGTCGCCGAGAAACACGGTCGTTCCTCAAGGCGGTTGGAAGTAATGAAATCCTAATGACATTTTCGTGAGTCAAACGATCTCGGCAATCACGGTGGCGCGCTGTAATCACCGGTCCCTCCTTTCCGGATGAAGCAACCGAACGCCCTACCGGGCATCCTCCTCCGGGAAGGAGCCGCGGAGCGGAGCGGACCCGCGAGGAGATATGCGCGATTCACTACGAAACCCGAGGCCGTGCGGGGCCGCGTAGAAAAAATCATTATCTCGGTCGACGACGCGACGCGACGAACAGTTCTGACAAGTATGCGTTCATTAAATTCGTGAAACAAGAAAAAGAAGGATCGTTCGTGAAAGCACGGACTCGAGTAGCGTGGCTGGACGTCGAGCGGAAACATCTGTCGAGAGGACAGTCTCGCGACGCGCTGTCTCCTCCCGGGGAGGAGAGAGAGAGAGAGAGAGAGAGAGATCTCGCGGAATCTTTTTCGTTCCGACAAAATAAATCTTTCTGTCCGTAATTCTCGATCGTCACACGTACCTGGAAACTACGGAAAAAGGAGCGCGAAAACGTTTCCACGTTTTACGCTGTTTTTATCGTTTCCCGTCGGCCATTGCTGGGTCACCCCTTTTGCCGTTTCTCGGCTACGATACAGCCAACATTTTCAAAGAGACGCCACGAAACCACAGGAAAAAAGAACGAACGGTTGCGGTTTGCGACCAGGGGAAACTGGGAGGGCCGTTGCGTTCGAGCCCCACCGCTGACCCAAATCCTCCGGCGTATCGGTCGGTAACAATAGTCGTCTCATGAGAACGCGGTCTCGCACGGTTCCTTTACTTCCTGACTCTGCCTACGTTTTCGTGAGATGCCACTGTGTCAACCGTCTGGTCAAGGAGATAGAGACTCGTGTGAAAACTTCGTCGAAATAACCCTTTCGAATTTTCCTTCGCTAACTCTAAGACGTTCTATTCTTTATTACTTTGATCAAACATTTATTTTAGTCCATTTATAAATGGTATTTCATTTCAAGATATTCATATTATTTCATTTCAGATCAAGATATTTCGAAAGTCTTTTGATTCCTATCTTTAAATTTCTACTTTGCTGTTTGAATTAAATCAAGCTGGTATACCTTCTTTATTGAAATCAGATCAAGGTTGTTTCGACACAGTTGAACCTCGCGTTTCCCTGGTAATGCCCCGTTAGAATATTTCATCGGGCACGCCGGAGCTTTCCCATCATGAAACTCTCCTCAACATGGGAACAGAGCACAAAGCCAGTTTCACGTCGCTGGACATCTGGAGCCATCGCGTGTTACCTCGAAATCCGCGAGAAAGAACGAGCCGCGAGCGGAGAAGGGCGGAACACGTCCGTCGCGTCAGTCGCGTTTTTACCCCTTTATCTCGGTCGGAATTTCCTCGTCCTCGCGATTTCTCGGTGTTCTTTGTTCGTCGACCGCGGCGCGGCGTATCGCGGCTAGGCATTCCGGGCCAGGAGACACGTTTCAGCGCGATGATGACGAGAGATGACGACAACGATTCCATCCGTGTTGTATACTAAACAAGTGCCGTTAGATTCGACCGCAGAGCTACGAGTCGCGGAAGGACGACGACGGAACCGGAGAATGGTCGTTGTTGCTTGCGTTTGGATTCGGTGCAATAAGGAGGCGTGTGCGTGTATAATTTAAGACGAAGCTCCCTCAGTTCCTAAATTGCGTGTAGAGCGAGTAAATTGCGAAAAACAGCGTAAAACGATTCGACGCGCGGCGGATTCGACGAAAGTGTTGGCTGTGGCGCGGGACACACCGTTATTTCAATTCTTTTTTCTCTCCACATCGCGGACTGTCCATCGAACATTCGTAGGTTACGTATAAAAAATTGTTAGACGAAAAAGAGACGAGGGATAAAAAGGGAAATATAATGAAGAACTGAAGAACCCAAGCGCTTGTCCATCACATCGTGTCGCGTCGTTGTCGCTGCAAAAGCAAACGCATAACGCACGTTGCAGTTCAGCTTTGTCACGCTTTCGTCGAGTTCCGTGGAATAATAGAACGCCGCGCCGGCCGAGGATGAGCGACGCGGGGCTATTAATGCGAAGGAGGACGGAGACGCGCGCGAGATAAGAATGACAGACGGATAGGCATGCCTATAGTGAAATGGCGAACATCGCGAAATGAAGTAGCGATGAAAAAGAAACGGAAAAAAAAACGGTGAGAACGAAATAAGGAGTCCGTAGGAATTTCATTAGTGTTACTAGTCCCGGTGCAAAGCGAGCGGGGATCGAATCGAGCGGCGTGAACAGATTTATAAAGATCGGTCCTCCGATGTGCGTGTAAATAATGCACCGGGGCCCACCCCCTGTTAGTACGTAAGCCGTAAAAATGAAATGAATAAATCTGTGTAAAATACGATATTGTGATAAGATGTGTAAAGATATGCGAGAGAGGGAGAGAAAGAGAGATGAAGCCAGAAATCGTCTATATACATATAGGTTAACAACAAACACCGGAAACTCCCCCCCAGTTTATCAATTTTATCGAGTACCCTTGTATGAATATAGATATTACGAGGACTAAAATACCTTAATTATGATTACTATTGTATAAAATATGAATAATAACTAATTAATTCAATTTAAATCGTCCATTGCATTATATCTTTTATTTTATCCTTCTCTGTGTCTAATATAAGAAAACATGTATTTTCTACCAGTAAAAACGTCCGCGATAAAATATAGTTTCTCACAGTTTCAGGGCGTGTCATAAATTACTATAGTGCATAATAATGAATAAACTACATATTTGATGATTCCAAAGGAACTGCGATTGCGGAACGAACTTCCACTGTCCTGATGGCAGGAGAGGTTCGAGTTCCTCTTTTCTCCTTTTCTCTTTGTTCGCCAGTAGCGGCCACCACCTGCCGTTCTAGAGCTGCCATACGCATGCTCTACTTTTATGGATAACTGTACTCCTATCTCGCTTAAAGCGAAGCCACCGACTATTCCGCGTTTTGCAGCCACGAATCTACACGGTGTCTTGGAAAAGCAAGACTCGGAAAAAACATGAATTAGAGATTTTATGATTTCGTAACTATAATTAAAGACGTGTTTGATTCGATGGCAAATTTTCTTCAAGGAGTGTAAGTATTGTTTTTATTTATTTAAAAGATAAATAATTTTATTGAGGAAATTAATTGAAAAAACTGCGAATGTGCATGTAAAGCAGTCTCGTGAATGCAATCCAAAAATAGGAACCTTCGTTTAACGTTTGACATGTTATTAATATATTGCTTTCGATTGCACATTTCTATACTCTAACTAACTTATAACTATTCATAAATATTTAAACATTTGTAACCTGCCTATGCATTACTACGAAATGAGGTTTGGACCACGATGGATCAAACAGCGAACGGAAAATCAATCCAACTCAGCGACGTTCGCTCATAAGCTTCGACTGATTGTAATAATCGTGACGAAGCCTAATAAGCCAATTAGCCATCGGACGATTAAATCGTTCGTTTATCTGGATATTGATTTTCATCAGACAAAGACCCACTCTACCCTACAAAAGCGGCCATGTTCCGCAGCCACTCACAGTCGTTCGCTACGCGCGACTACGCTTGCTCGTCCGTGCGGGACCACCGCACCGCACCGGCAGAAAAAGGTGTACCGATGCTCCCGATGAATGCAGTATGCGCGCCTCGCCGCGGTTTCCAAACGTAAACTTATACTCGGTGAAAAGGGAAAAAAGGGAAGCACGAGAGAAAGAGAGGAAGACTATCCGCGGCACGACAATACAGTGGCATAAAGTCTCACAAGACGCACGGGAAAGCCTCCTTGCAAACGGGGGGACAAAAACCTATAATGGACACAATGGTCGATGGATCTCGACTGTGGGCCTTCGACTGGAAGGCGCCGGTATTCATTGTGGTGTACCTTCGAAAAGATTACGTCGAGTAGATGTTTGCTTCCTTTCGTTTTTCGATCAATACGCGTTGTTTCGTTCAACGATTTCGGTATTCATAGACTCGTTTTGTTCATTTAATGTAAAATTTTCAGAAAAATCGTAGATTAACATCCGTGCGCACGGTGCACACTGTAGATCCCGAGCGTGCCCGTACGATCAGGTCTAACGAGTCCACCGTACGCAGATCTCGAACCTGTCGATTCCGTTCTTCTATCTGACTTTATCATCTGCCTGACAGAACGAATTTATGGCAACACGATTTACTTTTCACAAATAATACTGCGCAATTAATGGCAGATAAATCAGACATGAACGATTCGACGCGTATCTTTTCAAGACGTATTTAACGAAGACACGATAAGTACGTTACATCCGTAGCAGCGATCGAACTTCGTTAAGCCAGACGAAAGAGCACGAACGAGCGATCGTACGCGTCGATCGTTAACAACCACTTCCGTCTAATCAAATCCGTGTCAGAGATCGTGTTCTACACAAACGGCCGAAGCACACAGCGAGTATAAAGCCTGATTTAATTCGACTTCCCTCAACATACCCTTATCCTATTAGCAGGCCCTTCTCTTCTTTCAACCGCTTTAATTGCGTTCCCGAAGATGAGATCCGAATCTAACACGGGGTACAAACAGAAAGCTGGCAGAAAATTGAATTGTTAAAGCGCTCGAGCAGTTGAGTATCGCGATCATCGCCAGAACCTGAACGCAGGTGAGCTTTTATCATAGCCAAGATCGTGCTAGGTTATTTACCTGCGAATAATCAGCATTTAATTTACTTTAAATTCGTTCAATAACCAAATCTGTGTGTAACAACGTGCATACTTAAAGAAAGAGAAGCAGTCTTATCGATGATAGGCGTGATACGAATATGTAAGTACTTACATAGTTGCTCGTGGATGATATACTGGAGTAGAAAAGGGAATTGTAATATCGTGCAGGGGTCAGGAAGGACGAGCCAGGGCTTGCTAAGACAGCGGACGATATCGAATAAACAAACGAACGAGTGGGAGGCGCAGGAAGTGGCGGATATTAAGGTCTTCGTGACGGAACTTTACTCGTATTATAGCGAGCTAAGTGAGGAGGCCACCAGTCTGGTCGAACTAATTCTATTACCTCGTCCCTTCCTTCCACCACCATTCTTCTACTTCTATCTATTCTATAAGAGGATTATCGCTTGGACTCTTTTGCTAGATTGTCTTTAGTAACAAGCCTGCTGACAGATCGTTGATAAATGTGTATTTCATTTTATATTGTGTCCTATTTTAATCCTATCGCCGAAGAGCTATAAATTTGCTTTGAAAAATTGGTACTAATTCGAACAAAGGTTTCACAGTTTACTTAAAAGAGAGGTACGGTACATATATTTTCAACAATCCCCCTTAATGTTATCAGGGAGAAAATCTTAGACACAGTCAATACTAATTCAGAGACTGTTCGTGGTCAACCGTTTGGATTCGGTGATCCGAAGTCTGGAAGGGTGCATCTGAAAGGGTGGCAGCGCGACACGGTCGGCAGAAAGAAGAGGAAAAGTTAGGGCGGTGAAAAGTTAGGTGGAAGAAGCAAGAGGTGGTCAGGTTGGGGTGCCAATTTGCGATTCCACGCAGCAAGAAGGGCGTGGCGGGCCCGCGCATGGGGTGGCTCGCTCGTTTGCGCGACATTGTCGGCCAGCCCTAACCTTCTGACTGCCCCTGCCACCTTCCTCGTTTGACGACCCTCGCGGGCGCGCTAATCCCGTAATTCTCTTACATGGATGAAAACCGATGAGATCGTCCTTGAAGACGAACAGCTCCAGAGGGAGGACAACGTTTGCAGGCCACATGAAAGCAACTGTTCTGATTATACATTTACTATCCACATACTATCTTTACATTATGAGAGTGGAAATAACTGGCCATTACAATCTTGTAAGAATATATTAATAGTAAATAGATGTGCTAATTAAGAATTGCTTGTTGAATTTAGAAGAATAACATTGTGAGATGTTCAGTTTCGCTTGTAAAAAGTGGCTGAGTTGCTGTTTTTTATCGCAGAATTTATAATCAACACTCCAGTTTCTTTATGACTGATATTAATTTCTAATGAGACAAGTTCCCATGCCTTAGTTTTTAATATGTTAAACGTTGCACACGTTCTCATATACATTTACATTAAATGGAATTGTATATTTCTTAAATTAAACGATTAGTTATTCCACAGTCTGCAACATGTCTTGAGCTTTTATAAATAGCTCTCTCAGTAGTCTATAAATAGCTCGAATCTAATGAATATTGATTTAATTGAATAATGAACCTTACGTTCTCTTGTTTATTAGGGTAAAGTAATACTCGGAAAAGAATATTTCGACTGTGTTGAGAATCATACTTTTTACATGTTAAAATTAAAATTTGATTGATACAATTTAAAAATAACAAGATCAGATCTAGGTTATTGAATATGAAGCCTGAATGATCTACAAAGCGAATTGTATTGCCGTTGGCACGGTATAATGGCATTAAATGTCGAATTGTCGCGACGCCTTCTGGACATCCAGCTGGCGAAGTTGCATGAGCACAGAGGCACAAAGCTCGGGAAAGGAAACGAATACGGAACTCCGCCCAGCGTATCGTTTGACTCGCAAGGGGTTGAAGTTGAAGCCACGTGGCGGAAAGACGCAGGCGCGTCTACGAGGAGTCAAACAACGAGTTGACATAATCTAACGATCGGCCGGTTGACGTTTTTGTATATTGTGTTTCGAGCACAATGACTGCGTTAAATTTCAATTCATATAGGAAAGGCTGTTATTAACGATAAGCGATGTGACCAAGCTGGATTATGAATATTCAATTAGAAAATGAAACCTGCATGTGTTTCGTACATATTCAAGAAGGCACCGAGAAGTAATGCCTGATTGTAATAAAACGATTGAAGATGAAACGAAATTTTCTATAAAGTTGATAGAAATGTGAATAACAATTCGTTGATTAAAACTTACATTTATATTTAATAAAGCAATGAAGCCGAATCTTGAATCTTTATCGAAATAGGGAAGCATGATCATTGGAAAGGACGAAGTATGTCAAACAGTATAACGTAGAGTATACATGGTGAACGTTAAGGTGATTAAGAAATCACGTGCCATTAACGCTCATTAAGGAAGCCAGGGTTAATCCTGTCGTATCAAGCCTCCGACTTCTTGTTTCCTATACCCCCCGTTACATTGTCGTAAAACAGCAAAGCTATCAGTGCTACGTCAAAACAAAAGAAATTTGTGAAAAGCAAATTCTATACTTATTTCATACAGTAATAAAATTAGCTCAAGTCAAGATAATTTAAAAGAAACAAAATTTTCTAAAATACTCAGACTTTGAACTTTCATTCTAAAAGCTTCTAAAGCAGCTAAGCTAATTGACAATCCAGAAACATGACTATCCATTCGTTGAGAAAAGTCAAGTGTCGAACCGATCTGTCCACATCTTCCTTTATTCTCGGATGTTAAGAAGGGTTAAGGGGATTAGGATAAAGAGACCGGCTTTCTTCCACGAGGCTTCTTCCAGGGTAAAAAGATGGGCCCGAAGAGCCTACCTGGCGAGCAAAGCCGCGCAAAAATAAACAGATTTGGTGGAACGTTTATCCGGCACCGGGACACGGTAGTCATAAAGCCGAGAGAATTTAAAGTCCATT